AAGAGATGTCCTCTCTTGAAAACCTCGAAATCCTGAGCCGATTTCAATAACTGAAGAAGAGTTAACTCTTTGAAAACGATCAAGATTCTGGATCGATTTCAATAACTTTATTATCATTTTTCGCGATCCTCTGCGCTATATATTTGTTTCCTTTATGGTTGAAAAAAGTTGGTAAATGTTACATTATGAGATTTTTGTACGAATGAGTAAGAAAGACCTGGCCACAGTGCAAGATTCGAACGTTACTGTCAACAGCAGCATGAATTGATGAAACACAGTGGTCGGTGAAAACAATTTCTGTTTAAATAACTTAATTCAATACCTTTACCCCATTAGAACGAAATATATATAATATATATATATATATATATATATATATATGCATAGTTTGAGTATCTGTAAATACCCGAAAACAACAAACCAGTCAGAAACCTCCAGTTACTCTCAATACAGTATTATAGTCACATGCACGCTAAGAACCAATCACATTACTTCACCAATTATTAATGCAACCTGCGGAGTATCAACTAATTATCTTACAGAGTACATTCATATTTATCAGAACGTCAGGCCTTGCAAGTACTGGGTATTAACTCACTGAGAACACGCGCCGTTACTGCGCGCTGTGAAGTATCTTCCGACTTTGGTGAGACAAACGGCCCGTATTCTCTTCAAATTGAGTCTGACACCCTGTTACAATATTATAAGGCCAAACTGTCTAGTCTTTCTTGTCTAATTTTGAGCCCTAATCTATCACCTTCCCTCCATATTGCAACCCTCTATACATGATCAACCGCACACGTTCACAAGAATCTGACTTAGGACTTGACCTAATACATGAGATCCTACGGTCTCAGAACAAGTGCAAGGAAGCAACAAAATAAATCACATTGATTCCTTCTAAGTTTTCAGCATTTTAAGATGTTTCTCTTCAACGAGCTAAGCCTAATTTATCCATGAAATAATATTTTTTTGTGTTCCACTGCGTACGAAAAATTTACCCTTTAAACGCTAATAGAAATAACTTATTACATTTTTTCATATAGCTCTCATAATGTATTTTTAGAGTAGAAATATTTATAGTTTAAAATTACGTTGTTGGGTGAGGATTGACTCCAACGTCGCGAAAGCGCTATTACAATTGAAATAAACTTTTACTTTAGAGCTCGTGCCTCTTTCCTATATTATATTTTATATAATATGCTTTTTCGAATATTATAAAATATTTTGGAATCTATTACTATTCATAACCCTTTTGCTTATATAGCTCCTTCACTATAGTTTAAAACCAAGAGAATGCTTAACAATATACAGGGTGTCCATAAAGTCTGGAATCAATGTAAAGTTATTTTATTTGAATCATATTATGTTTTATTCTTTTTGTTGCAGGTTTGTGTTCCCCATACGTAATAATCATGTCGCTAAGTTTACAAGAGCGCGTTGAAATTATCCTGTTGTGTGGACGTCAAAGATGGACAGAGAGAGAGAGAGACTGAAAAAGCTGCAGAGTTCAATTACAAACATTCGGAAAGAAATCCAAATACTTCAATCATGCTGTATGGTTTACAAACATGTTTTGAACTTGGCGGTGGCCATTTTGAACAGATATTGTAACTATGTCTTTAAATAAAACATGTTTACATTGATTCCAGACTTCTTGGACACCCTGTAGTTTGCAGATGGTAATATAGAAAATTCATTTGGGCGGTAGTGGAAACTTGCCGAGAATTTGAGATGTAGGTTGTAGGGGGCGCTCGAAGCAAAAAACGGTGTTACTAGAGCGTGGGGTCTACACAGATACTATCATCATCATAACCTTTTTAACGATTCACTAAAACATAATTTCTTGCTAAATGATTATATCTATCAACGTTTTTGTCCAGCAAATAATAATTTAATAAGTTGTGTGTTCCAAAAGAGTACCTTAAATTTAAGTTATAATTGTGCTAGTTTTGATTGTTGGAACTATATATTCGCCCCCAAAAATGTTACGTAATGTTTTTTGTACTTTATTAGTTTAAAAGCGTTATTTATAATAAATAACGCCAATTACAAATAAACGAAAGTTAAAACGGTGATGATAATAGTATCTGTGTAC